AACATAAGACAACACACATCGACCCTATCACTGACATGCTTCTCATAAGCAGTTCTTTCAGCATGTTGGACATTGGTCTTAGGTTTTTCAGGAAGAACCTTTTCTAGGACATAGTCCTTTTTCTCTTGCTTGAGAACAATTCTCAAGTTTCGATACCATTCAAGGAAATTCGATCCATTCAATTTATCCTTCTCAAGGATAGATCGCAATGAGAACGAAAAGAGGGGAGTTGTCATTTCTGGAATAAAAGAATAGGGAGTGTTAATATGATGTTCATGAATTGAGAAATCTCAACAATTAAGAAAACTCATATTATATTAAAAACATTTTTCTCAAATGAATATAATAAGCCAAGATCCATATTTCACTAAAATCCAAGTGAGCTTTGGCTCATCGCCTGAATTTAGTTATTTAGGTAAGCAACACTTTACTAATTATATCCAATATAATTCTTGGTTGTCAGATAACATCTTATGTCTTATCCAACCTATGTCTCTAAGCCCAAAACCGTTTTGATAGCCTAGTCAAATAAACCAATCTTGTTTCATATGGTAACCGTTACCATCCACCTCACTCATGTAATTGCAGACACCTTGCTTTGGCAAGCCCATCTTACAACGAAACGAGCCTTGATGGTTGATAAGATTGGATAGACATCAAAATTACTTGAAATTAATTGAGGAACAAATTTTAATTCAATTTTAATTTATATTTAGAATTTTATATCTAATATAAAATAAATATAACTAATACATATCTTATATGTATTTAAATTGAATTATAAATAATTAAGTAATTTAATCTAATTAAAGTAATTAATTATTTATATTTTGGATTCTAGAATTTAATCTTATTAAACTCTAATCATACGACCAACCCAATTGGACTAACCGGTTAAACCAAGAATGAGTCAACCGGGTTTCATAATTTGTTCATGCGAATCATATAAGTTACAGAATCACATTCATGTATTCCACTAATACGTAACTTTTAATTTTAATATACATGAGCACATTATGATAAACAGCAATAAGCGATAGATAACATAAACAATTCATCAATATCTAGCTTGTGCTTATTAGCTTATTCAAAACGCTAATCAACCGCACGAACAATTCTGGGTGACTAATAAATGAATTGAGCAAATTAATATTCTTACCAGAATCATTAGTTTCACATGTACATATTAAAGATATCTACGAGTGTCAATTCAAAAACAATGATTTTGAAACAATTTCAAAAAAACCGAGCGATTACAATCAAATACGTAATCATTCGATTCATACAAACACGATCGATAAATAACTTAACAAAATCGACCATGACAAAATTATTTATCTATATCAACATATAAATTAAATAAGATTCAATTTCAATATTAAAACAAGTAGGCTCTGATACCACTGAAGGAATTCATACCGGTTTATAACGATTATAAATCAACTTATGAATTCTATTTGCCTAGAATCTCATGCCAATACTAAAATAAATCTAGATCTTAGGGTTTCGGATATACCTGGTTATTTTGCAGCGGAAAGATAAACAACCAAGTCGAGATTTCAAGCACTCCAAACGTCGTGCCTCTATCGGTATCCACACGCACACAAACTGGATCAATACGGGATGCTAGTGCCGTCGAGATCTAATCTCAAAAACTTGACAAACTCTTTTGTCTCTTTTAGGGTTTAGCCGTCACGTTCTCTTTCGTTTTGTGTGTCATAAACAAAACGTCAACTTCATAACATTATATACTTAGGTGTATCAAACCTAATTCTAATCAAATTAGAATTATGGACTAAACCCATTAATATTAATTAGTTTAGCCCATTAATATTAATTAGTCTAGCCCACATGAAAACACTATTGCAAATTACATGCATATATAAGTTACGTACATATCACATATGTATGTATTATATCTATATTATATATCATATATATAATATAAATATATAAGCCTGGATCCAAGGCGATTTTGGTGAAAAATCTTTACTTATCTTGTGATCCTTACATGGGGATTCGCATGAGAGAACCAAATCCTTCGACTTCAGCACTCATGGATGCTTTCGTTCCTGGCAAGGTAACAACATCACCCAGACACACACACACATACCTATACACCCTTGTTGTTGATACTTTGTGCATGTTCAGCCAATATCCGGATTTGGAGTGTCTAGGGTGATAGATTCTGATGATCCAACTTTCTCAAAAGGTGATTTTGTTTGGGGATTGGTCGAGTGGGAAGAGTATAGTACTATTAACCCAACGGGTAGCTTCAAAATCGACGTCAACATCAATGTTCCTCTCTCTTACTACACTGGAATCCTCGGTTAGTATCTGTTTTATTTTCATGGAAATGCTAGTTACAAATATTTTTTTCTTAAAAGCTCTGTTTTTTTTTCATTAAAGGTATGCCCGGTTTGACTGCTTATGCTGGATTTTACGAGATTTGTTCACCTAAGAAAGGAGAAACAGTCTTCATTTCTGCGGCTTCTGGAGCAGTTGGTCAGCTCGTGGGTCAGTTTGCTAAGTTGATGGGATGTTATGTTGTTGGAAGTGCTGGAAGTAAACAAAAGGTGATTGATGGCTCTTGTTCTAAAACTTACTGGTCAAAAGAGTACAACTCTCTCTTATATTGTTTGGTTCCCATAAAGGTCGATCTCTTGCTCCACAAACTTGGTTTCGATGATGCATTCAACTACAAGGAAGAGCCTGACCTTGACTCTGCCTTAAAGAGGTATTGAATTCAGTCTTTAATACATAATTTAGTTTCTTGGTACGTACATATAATCAAATTGTGTGTTCTCTTTCTTCCCGCAGATGTTTTCCAAAAGGGATTGACATATACTTTGAGAATGTGGGAGGAAAAATGCTTGACGCCGTGCTACTGAACATGAAAGCGTATGGTAGAATTGCTGTATGCGGGATGATCTCTCAGTACCATCTTGAAACTAGAGAAGGGATTCGGAATCTACCGGCTGTTATCTACAAGAAGATCAAGATGCAAGGGTTTGTGGCTATTGACTTCATTGATAGAGTCCCTAAATTCTTGGAGTTTGTTCTTCCATATATAAAAGAAAGGAAGTTGATATACGTTGAAGACATTGTTGAAGGACTAGAGAATGGTCCTGCTGCTCTTGTTGGACTCTTCCGTGGACAAAACGTTGGGAAACAAGTTCTTAGGGTTGCTCGTGAGTGAGATAAAGATAGGTTGCTCGTATTATTATGTGGAATCATACCAACATATGCTAAGATATTCCTGTGGTTTCCATTATATAATCGGTACAAAAAAACAATAGCTGTAACTGCTTACATGATCTGCAATATGTTTGAATTGTATTGGGTTTAATGATGATATACTCTAAACGAGTATCATTTAAAAGGGATCAACAGTGAATATTTCATGAAACTCAAGTGAAGCTGAGCCTTATCTGGCCAAGGCCTAACACAAATAGTGAACATATTTGACTGACGATCTAAAAACAGTGTCTAGAAAATATGAACTCAAGACTGTCTTGGGGCCATGTACTGTAATTTATAAAGCAGTGAACTGGAAATGTTAATTGAAGTCATACTAACACTATGATTAACTTGGTTTAACTATCATTTATTAAAATGTTAATTTTTTTTATTTATTCTTGAATCATAACATTTATCTATTTAAAATGACAGTTGGCTTTTGTTTAAAAAAAAAAAAGTTTTGTATTGGTGTTGATTTAGAAAAAGGACAAAAAAACACCTGACTGGAACCTCCCATTCGAAATAATGTGCGATGCAAGCGTTTTCGCTGGAGCGGTTTTAGGCCAACGAAAAGATAATAGGCTACATGCTATCTACTACGCCAGCCGAACTTTGGACGAAGCTCAGAGAAATTATGGAACAACTGAGAAAGAACTACTTGCAGTAGTATACGCTTTTGAAAAATTATGTAACTATCTAGTAGGTTCAAAGGTCATTGTTCACACCGATCATGCAGCTATTAAATATCATATGCAAAAGAAAGATGCGAAACCACGGCTTATTCGATGGATACTCCTTCTCCAGGAATTCGATATGGAAATAAAAGATAAGAGAGGAGTAGACAATGGTGTTGCAGATCATCTTTCTCGGATCAAAGTAGACGAATAAGTCCCTATCAATGATTTCATACCGACTGAAAATGTGTACTTCACAGATTCATCACTTATCGATCAGATACAACTCTCATCCAAACTTGCATCGGCCGTCGATAATGAAAGCACTCACTTCGGAGACAACATGTCGATCGATGAGAAATCAATCCAATCGGTCGATACTAGTGATACCCTGTCGATCGATGGAACTTACGATGTTGACCTGTGGAAAGTCTCATTTAAGATCACAATCGATACGACCCCGACTGTGGCATGCCGAGCAATCGAAAATACACATAATATCTCTCAGAATGGAGACATTACACACGAGACGCACGCTGTGGATAAGCGATTTAGCGAAAGACTTTGGTATGTAGACATAGTAAACTATCTTGCCGCAAACGTCGAACCTGAAGAACTTAAAACCTATGACAGAAAGAAATTCTTCAGAGAAGTAAGAAGGTACCATTGGGACGAACCTTACCTTTACAAACAATGCGCCGACGGCATATTTCGACGATGTGTGGCTGAAACTGAGATTTCTGATATCATTTATCACTGTCATGGATCCGAATACGCTGGACATTTTGCAACCTTTAAAACGGTTTCAGAAATTCTCCAAGCTGGATTTTGGTGGCCTAAAATGTTCTGCGACGTTCATGCCTTTATCGTCAAGTGCGACAGATGCCAACGTCGAGGAAAAATCAGCAAACGACACGAAATGGACCAAAAATTCATTCTTGAAGTAGAAGTTTTCGATTGCTGGGGGATAGACTTCATGGGTCATTTCCCTACTTCTTACGGAAACAGATACATTCTGGTTGCTGTCGATTACGTTTCCAAATGGGTTGAAGCAGTTGCTTCACCAACAAATGATGCTTCTGTTGTTGTCAAACTTTTCAAAAGCATCATTTTTCCGAGATTTGGAGTCCCTCGCGTAGTTATAAGCGATGGTGGAACTCATTTCATCAACAAAATTTTTGAGAATCTACTCAAAAAGAATGGAGTTCACCATAGAGTAGCAACACCTTACCATCCGCAAACAAGTGGACAAGTCGAAGTTTCTAACAGACAAATAAAAGAAATTTTAGAAAAGACTGTAGGAGCCATGAGGAAGGACTGGTCTAGGAAAATAGATAATGCACTCTGGGCTTACCGAACTGACTTTAAGACGCCATTAGGAACAACTCCATTTCACTTACTCTATGGCAAATCTTGCCACTTACCAGTCGAGTTAGAGCATAAAGCAGCCTGGCTTACTAAATTGCTAAAATTTGACATAAAGACAGCTGCAGAAAGGAGACTCATCCAGCTTAATGAACTGGATGAAATAAGGCATCTGGCCTATGAGAACTCTAAGTTATATAAAGAGCGGAGCAAATCGTATCATGACAAACATATCATTTCTCGACATTTCCTCCCAAATGATCATGTTCTTTTATATAACTCTCGTTTGACTATATTTCCCGGAAAGCTTCGATCTCGCTGGTCTGGCCCTTTTACTGTCACAGCGGTCCAACCCAATGGAACCGTTACCCTTATAAACGAGAAAGGAGTCGAGTTCATGGTAAATGGCCAACGAGTAAAACATTATAGTGTCAAGCCCCCAAATGTTAAACCCCTAAAGTTAGGCATGCCTAACCCCAACTAGAATAAGAAATCGCTTAGTCCAGCTAAACGACTTAAAATAAGCTCTGAGTGGGAGGCAACCCACCATTAGGATTTAATTTCCCTTGCTTTTAGGATTAAGATTTCTTGTTATCATTATTAATTATTTCGATTTTTACTAAGAATATTTAGACTTAAGCAAATTAGTAAGCATAGTAGAGTCCTATCGATCGGTATACATATATCTATATCGATCGATACAGACATATCGAGGGCAAACTCCTTTTAAGTCGACACGCCTGTTCTTCTCCCTCACAAAGCGCAAACCACCCCCGAAACTCAAAAACCTCTCTTTCTCTCTCGATTGTTCACGGAATCTCACCGTCTTTTACCTCAATCGACTCGAAATTCACTTTCCATCGCGGTTTTGCTCTTCAATCCACAATCCTCCAAGGTATAATCTCTTGATTATTAGATTTCAATGAGAACAAAGATTAAAATAAACCTTGCATAGAAACCGGTTGATAGGTTCGTTTTTCTTCGATTATAGTTGTTAGGATTGATAGATTAGAGGTTTAGGAGTGTTAGAAGCAAGAATTACACTATAGATTTGTAATTTAGATTGCTGAGATTTTTGCAGGTTTTGGGACTCGATATCGATCGACATCGAGCATGCTCTGTCGATCGATATGCACATCTGGTCAGGTTATACAGACACGAAATCGATTGATATACCTCGGTTTACATCGATCGAATGTGCGATTCACTAACTCTCTCGTTCCTTTTGCGATTTTTGCAGATGGCATCTGACGAGGCTCGACGTGAAAGGAGAACGAAAAGGAGACTTGATTTACGTGGGTCCTCCAGGGGAAACCCTTCATCATCCTCTTCCTCGGACAGGGAAGAAGAGCGCGACCCTTGTCCACATGAGGATGGGACACCCATTCCGATATACAAGCAGTTTCCCAACCCGCGGGCCACAGCCAGGAGCAACGAATGCCTGCACCGTCCAGTAAGCGACGATTAGGACGTCTATGACAGCCTGTTCTACAATGCATGGCTTAATGTGGAGGTGGCACCCACGTGATTCATCGACTCTGCTACTGTCCGGCGTTTAGGGATCGAAGGTGACCTTCACGAGATTGCTCGTTCAGCTAGGTTTTGGGACCATAGGTGCCCAAACCTACGACCTCTACCCTTCACTCGTCCGGCAGTTCATGGCCACTGTTCGCTTCGAGTACAAGAACCAGCCATCGAGTGTTGCTTGTGATGGTGTCCTCTCTTTCTTTGCTAGGGGCATCTGGTACTACGCCATTGTCCCCGAGCTCTGCACGATTTACAGCTTTGAGCACTCCGCTGTCACACGGAGCAATCTCTCCAACTTCCTGAAGGTTCAGAAGTTCTGGGAGATCTTTGGCACAGGTCCCTGGAGTTCAGCCACGGTGATTCAGACTGACATCCGCCACCCCACTATCCGGTACTTCGTGTGGATCCTTGCCGCTACTCTGCTTTGCAAGATGGAGACGAACAAGGTGAGGATCCATGAGCTTACACTCCTCTACCATGCACTTGACGGACTGGTAGACCTGACTTTTCTAGACCCGGACCGCGAGCTGACCATGCCTAACCTGGGTGCCGTCTTCGCTAAGCATCTAGTCAGCTTGAAGACGAAGCCTTTCTTCGGTACATCCGGTCGAAAGAAGGAGAGCGTAAGGAGTCTTCTGACACCGATCTTTCAGTACCTCGGGATCCGGTTTGACGAGGGCACCGCAGACACCTCTCGTTCTTACTTGAACGCAGCTCATCTGCGTAACAGCCGTTGGATGGGCAGGGATTTGTCCTGGACTTTCAGGACTCCAGCTGGCACACACTAGTTCCTTCTGCCTCACCGGGAGATGACTGACTTCGTGTCGGACATCGACAGGCTTCAGTTCCAGCCAGACGCACGCCTCGTCCTCGACCCACCTGCATCACGCCGAGATACAGGAGTCTGCAGCGCTGCTACCTCTCGAGCTTCATCAGCA